AAAGCCTCTCTTGGTGCTGTCTGAACAGCCTTGGGCCTATCCTGGGATTCAGAGGTTACTAAGCCAGCCAGAGCACCCCTCACCTGCACACACTCATTGGTCTGGCCCTCATTCTGCCACCCTCCTAATATTGTTCCCATTAAGAAGTCTCGAATGGTTGCAGCCCATACTGACGCCTCACCCTTTGTGCTTCTCCATCTCCCTGGCCCAGTGAACAGCTCAATTCTTGTCCAGCTCCCTCACCTTAAACTAATAAATATTTAATAAACTTTTTAAACGGCACAATGTGGAAAATCAGAGGAAAGTCATCCACAAACAAAGGATTGGAAGGACTCTGAAGAAGACAGAAGTGGGTAATGGAGTGAAGGCTGACAAGTAGAGATAAAGAAACTACAGTCCAGAATAAAGACCCGAAAGGAGCTGGAGCAGACAGGGAAGTGGATGGTAAGGGAGGACCCAGCAGGGCCCAGGGTTTGACATAACCAGCTACTATGGGGGGCAGGGTGGGAAATGGTACTACAAGGCGGGGGGTTGGGGGGCTCCCAATTCTGCACATTCCCTTCCCCACAACCTCGCTCTCCTGCCACTGCCTGGGGGGAGAAAAACAACACACACACACATAAAAACAGAGGGCTGAACTTGACTTTGGCTTTTGTTTTCTTTTGTTGTTTTTTAGACTTGATGACAGGGCATTTTATTTTTGTGTCATTAGTTTTTAAGAATATACAATTGGAAGCAACATGGAGATTCCTTTAAGCTGTTGTTGGTTTTGTACTTATAATGGAGAAAAGTTGTCCAATTGCCAGAGTATGAGGTAAGATGTAGGGGCTCCTTCTCCATGGAGGTGGTCCCACTGTGAGGTCAACTGTTAGTCAGACTTAAGTAGGCCTACACCTAGGGTGCTCTTGTGGCCTAGTGGTAAGAAGCTGTGCTGCAATCCCAAAGGCACATGGTTTGAATCTACCAGTGCCTCTGCTGGAGAAGGGACAATCTGTTTTACTGCCTCTGCAAACCAGCTTTGAGTGGGTTCCAACTCAACAGCATAACAACAGACCTGAACCTGGCACGAAGCAAGTGGACACATCAGCAAATGAGTTCATCTGGACGCCACGCTCCTAAGCCGCAGGTTCCTGCAGCCAGCTAGGACTTCCACACCGACAGCAGCCAGCCTTCCTTGGAGACTACCCTCCTCCTAGGAGACAGAAAACGTCAGTCATCTGCTTGCTTTAAAAGACCGTCTTCCCCAACCCCAAGGCCCACAGAACACTGCGACAGCAGGTCTCCGGCACAACCACACAGCCTTCCTGCCCTGTGCTCACTGATCACTAATCCTTTTTTTTTAATATTCCCCTGAGACTCAACAGCAACAAGCAATAAACAGCAAAGACCTCAAGAGGCAGGGTGTGGCAGGTGAATAGTTCTTTCTCACAGTGAAAAATGTACAATGCGAAATGTAAACATGCCTGTTTTTAAGAGATGGTTAGTGTGTCTAAAGTCTTGTAAGAATTTGTGGAACAGTATCACATCAGGTGTGCATGCGGGGGTGTGTGTGTGTGTGTGTGTCCATATGCAGTGCACATGAGCCAACACACATGTAGTAGTAAAACCTCTTTTCCAATAAACTCTTATTACTCTGGTGGCCTAGAGGTAAGAAAATTGTGCTGCAATCCCAAAGGTGCATTGTTTGAATCCATCTGCTGCTCTGAGGGAGAAGGACGGGCAATCTCCTCCCGTGTGATTAACTGTCTCTGAAAACCTGCTGGATGGAAGGTCAGCCTTGTGTTAGTTCTGACTCTGTGGCACACAACAACAACAACTAAATCAGACCTAAAAGTTTCTCTGGTCAGAGCGCAAGAGAAGGTCCAAGGCCTTCCCTCCTCGGTCTTTCTCTTCATAAACATTACTCTGGTTACTTGCTGGGACCAGACTTCTGCGGAGCAACATAAGCAGCCACTGACTCAGAACAACTGAAAAGTAGCTTTACTGTGTTTGGGGAGGCAGGGTGGAGGGGAATGAATGTTTTACTTTCGAAAATGCATGAAATGAAAAGCAGGAGCAGTGATTCTACCTGCGTTCATGGCACACGAACCAATGAAATCTGAAGTAGACAGGCTCCCTCAGAAGCAGACAATCAGCACTGTCACCATCCTCATCACCACCACCTACGGTTCTTGACAGTTAACCGTGAGCCAAGGCGACATGAGGTGTGTGTGTTACATCACTGGATCCAAGCAACAAAAACACGAGGCTGTGTTGCTATGATCCACGCTCCACATGTGAATGAACTTGACCAAGTTTTCATAGCTAGTGGGTGACTGAGACATAGGCTCTGACCCAGGTCTGCTAGGCTCCACAGGCCAAGCCGGCTCTTAGCCTCTGCGTTCCACTAGGTCCCCAGAAGAGCTGTCCATATTCTTCTTTAGACACTTTTCTGCATTTTCTAAATTTTTTTGCTTGTGTTTACCACTGTCAAATAGTGATGTTGTCATTTGGGACAAATCAAATCTGAGCAGGAGAGAGTTGGTTTTCTGGAGATCGAGTTGGAGTCTAGCACAGGGCAGTTTGTCCAGTCCCAGGTCACCATGGAGGTGGACAGAGATCCCGTCCTCGATGCCAGCAAGGCAAGAGTGGTCCAGGATGCTCGATGCCCGGGTTGGGCCCAACCAGCCTTCAACAGCATCCTCATTTCCTGCTCCTCAGATATATTAAAAATCTCAGCAGTCTTCTTTTCTAAAAGCTAACTAGTATTTGGCATAACAAAAATTGTCATCTAATGATGGCTGAGTGGTAAGAAGGTGTGCTGCAATCCCAAAGGCATGCGGTTCGAATCCACCAGGTGCTCTGTGGGAGAAGGATAGGCTGTCTCCTCCCATGCAATTTATTGCCTCTGAAATCCCGCTGGAGGTTCCAACTTGATAGCACACAACAACAATTAGAAGAAGGGAGAGAAAACGTGTAAAGAAGACCACGTTTAAGTTGATGAATAAGAGACAATTTATATACATTGCTTAAGGAGTGGGAAGAAATATATTAGTCAAAAAAGACAAAACTTGTTAAAGTTTGCTTTCTGAAGAAGCAAAAGTATGAGGAAAGGCCATAGCACTGGAGCATAAAGGATTACCTTATTTTTAGAAATATTCTGATACCATTTAACTTCTAAAATCACGTAGCAATATATTTTTTTTAATGCTGTAACAAATAGAATAGAATTCATCCTCCTTACTGGTCTCCATTCATTTAAGGGATACCTGTTAGGAGTTCAGACAGAGATTTGGGTCTGCAAAGTCCGAGGTCCAGGGCCCAGGAGGAGACAGGAGGTACCTCGTGTCCTGGAAAGAACATTAGATGTAAAGTGAGAAGACCCAGATTGCAGTCTCGTCTCTGTTACTCAGAACTGTGTGGCCTTGGGTAAGGTGCTTACCTCTTCCAGGTGTTGTACCCCATAAGGGCAGGTACCACAGCTCCATATAACCAGCAAGACGAACATGGGATGATGCAGGTTCTGATTCCATGATACAAACTAAGGTGAGGGTTAAGATGCCAACAAGGGGGCCCCAGGAGGAGGCATGGGCAAGCATCCCAGACATCAGTCTGTGTCCCTGTATGAGAGTCACTCAGACCAGGAGCCCATCCAACCCCAGTGGAGAACCATCTTCAACACCTTCCTTCTTATAGTTTCGCTATCTGAAATATAAAAACCTCTAAATTACTTAGCTGTAGGATCACACCTGAGAAAATCATAAGCCGGGGCGGGGGGTGGGGGGGATCCCCAGCTCCTTCACCAGAGAAAAGGTCGCTGGGTAGTACAAAGTGTTTTTCTTACCCTAGAAGTTGGTGGTTTGAGAGGTATCACGAAAGAAAGGCCTGGCAATCTATCTCCACAAAAATCACAGGCCAGAAAACCGTGGGGTGCAGCTCTCTGTGCTGTAACACATAGAGTCACGATGAGTTGGAAGGGAAGCAGCACGTTTGGTTTTCTCCACCATGGCAGAGCCACCACATCAGGCTTTGCCACAGCTCCAGTCAGAGCTCATAAACAGTAGGACCAGTCTCCCCAGACAGCCTCCCCTACGTGGGGCAGCTTCTTCCAAAAGAGCCTCTCATTTCTGTCCATTAACTGAGGATTGGCCACAAACTGCCAGGCCACAAGGAGTCCCACTTCCCCTGCCTTTTCCTGGAATCAAAGCCTGCACAGGGCTGGGGGTGGAGAAGGGTCTTCCAGGTCCAAGTATATCTGGACTACCAGTGGGTCTCTACACACATACACACAGAGAGAGAGATACCCCAGCCCAACTGTTGCTGGCAGGTCATACAACAAAGAGGGAAGAGGCAGCAACCCTGAGCAAAGAGGATCCAAAACAAGATTCTGCTCCCACCAGGGGTGGAAGACAAGGGGTTATCCTGGGAAAGCTGCCCAAAGATCCCAGGGAGCAGACTTGTCTGTGGGGTGAACGCATCACCTGTGGATTCATCAGAAATAAACTTTGTCCTTTGACACTTTGTCCTTGGCAAGGGTCAATCATATGGCAAAAAGGGCGGACAGCTGTGGGGAGATGGACTGAAGTGGTGACTGGAGCGGTGACTGGAGGGGTGGGCGTGAGCACAGCAGATTGTGAGGACGGTGTAGCATTGGGCACAGTTTCACTCTCACTGGACAAAGCCTACCAACAACTGTAGTGTCAATTCACACCATGATTAAATGATAAAATCCATCAGGATGGAAAAAAACTCACAGAAAGCAGCTTTGATTCCCATGAACTCAGATAAGGGGCCCAAGGGAAGGGAGGCATCAGAGGGTGGGTGAAGGGGTGTTCTTTCCAGCAATTCAATGGGATTTTCCTCAGAAAATTCTCCTTTTATTCACAAATCCTGAGAATAATGATGAAGAGTTTTCTTGCTTTCATTTTGGGTAATTTGAGGGGGTTTTTTGGCCCAAGAAATAATTCTCCATAGTCTGTCTTTTAAAGTGATGTGTAATTTCTAAATAATAATCCTGAAAGTCAAGCCGACACTGCTAACTCTGGCTGCCTGGGATTTTCCAAATCCCCTACAGAAAGGTGACTCTTGTCCAGGGAACCAGCCTGGGACACTGGTCTGTATATCCGGTGCCCGAAAGCATCTGTTTCCTCAAAGATGTAGCCAGGGGGCTCGGGGTATGAAGCCAGGCATCTGACCATCTCCTTAGGAGTGTAGCTGACGGTATAGGTGGTCTGGCCCTCCAGAGGGATATTTCCTCGAGGAAAATTCCAGGAAGGCTTATAGCTCTTGGTACAGATAGGGGGATGGGGCACGTAGTGGGCTCGGGTGGTGGTCAGGCAGTCCAAGGGCTCTGTGGGGAGGCTCAGCTGGGGAGGGGGCTTCACCGGCTCTGAGCGGACCTGGGCCCACTGCTTATAATCATCCCGGGTGGTGGTGGAACCCTCAAAGTGGTCGCCCTTCTTGATCCGGTGCACTGGCCGGCAGGGCCGAGCTGGACTGCCCTTGGGGTACGTGTAATGGGCCTGCACTGTGGTCAGAAGGTCCATCTTCTCCTCGGGAGGAACATAGGTGGCCGGAGCTTTGGAGAACACCTTGGGCGTTGGCCATGCTTGGTATTTATCCTTAAACTCGCTGGTGCTGGAGAAAGGTTTCTCTAACCCACAGGTCCTCACTGGAGGCTTTGAGCTCTTCGCAGGCTCCCCCCTTAGACCCCGAAAGGAGTCTTTGTGGGTAGTTTGGGTTTCAAAGGGCACGTCACAGGGCCTGAACTTCTCAGGCTCGTGCACAAAGCGCTTCTCCACAGGGTGGGGCACGTAGCTCATCTTGTAGTTGGTCAGATCCTCCAGGGGGACGTTGTGGAGCCTGGGCACGGGCAGGGGCCTGCAGCTCACAGTGCTCACCAGGCCCTTTGCATAGTAGTCATCCTGGTGTGTGGTTCTGTTGTCAAACTTGGTGGATGTCGGCTGGTAGTGATGTGGTGGGCCAAGTGCTTCTCGTTTGGGTTGGTTCCAAGGTAAATAATCAGCTGGAACAAAAGCAAAGGCGGTCATTTATGACAAGTCCAGGTCATCCAACCCAAATGTATTCTAAGGGCCCCTCTAAAGCCACCAAGAGTCTCTAATGAGATGTTCTTTGAGACAATGGAAAAGTGTGGAAAAATACAATGGGAAACGGACCCCTTCCTCTGCCTCAAGACAAGTTTCAACATTCTGGTACTTGTGCGTTTCTGAGGAGAAGTAAACAATGTACTCCTCTCATTAAGCCCCACCTACAGTGCTTCTCCCAGGGATTTAAGGCTCCACAGCTGTAGGACCACCACTGGGCCATCAGAGCACCGCTCTGTGGTGGCCTGCATTTTGCTGTGATGCGGAAAGTGTACAATCAAATCGGCCCCCACTGGCAAAAGTTATTGTTATTTCACCCTGGCCTGACCTGGCACAAGCACGAACATTAGACAGACACCTAGGAGATAGGACAGAGAGGAAGCCGTGGTGGAAGCAACCCCAGGTGACAATCCCAAACACTCAGAAAACCCAGGAGGTATTTGTGGAATAAATACAGCTCAATTGTGTGTGTGTGTGTGTGTGTGTGTGTGTGTGTGTGTGTGTGTGTGTGAGTGTGTGTGAGTGTTGATTGATTTCCCAAGTCCTGAAGGAAGTTTCTTGTATTATTTCCATTTTTTTACCATTTTGTTCAGTTTCATCTTTTCTTTTAGGGGAGAGAATTTGCCAAGTTCTTTACTTCAACACTCCCAAAGTCCTGGCGTGCCTGCCCACCTCCCACCAAGCCCTTACTCTTACATTTATTTTAGGTCAATAATACTACCAACCATTTATTCAGAATTGGCTTCATTTTAATTGAAAATCTAATCTTTCTCAGAGAGCCATTAATGATTCTATTAGCATCTTGAAAGCATTAAGGGGCCTTAGCAGGAACCATCTTGGTGAATATAAACCACATGTTCCCCTCTGGCTTCGGGCCTCACTGAAATGCGGGCATCTACCTGAATGCCTACATGGGGCCTCAAGGTGCTTGGGGTTGGCTAGGACAGCACAGAGTCCTCTTCTGTGATGGATGAAGTGTTAAGAAAACAGGTTCCTAAGCTGAAAGCTGTCCCATGTGCTTTCAGACACCTAACAATACAGTTGAAACCACAGTATCCAGACTCCTAACTTCCTCCACCCAACATTTACGGGGGGAAATATCCCACCTCCTGAGATCCTGAAAACCTCAGCATTCCCTTTGACAAGCTATTCACATGCCTGAAAAGCCACCAGTAGAAATCTCCAAAGCCATGGTGTCTTGTGGGTAATTGGCAAAAACTTCTTTAAGGGGGATTCCAACAAAAAAAATGTGTCTTAAAACAAAACAAAACACTACCAAAACTTAGCTAAATCTAAAGCTGAGTCCCAAGTAATTATACCCTCAATCTTTCCCAATGCGCAGTGTTTTGAAAATAAAGCACAACCAAATGCAGCTGGAGCATGTTTCATTGGTGGTTTTCCGAACCCCGGTAAATATTTCATTGGTGGTTTTCTGAACCCCGGTAAAGGTGCTGACCAAGTGTAGAAAGGAAGAAGGCTGGGCATTTTCTCAGTGAAGCATAAAGACATAATGTAGCTGGCATCTGTTGTTGTTCTCAGGTGCCAGCGAGTCAATTATGACTCAGCAATCCGAAATCTGTCCTATCCTGTGCCATCCTCAACATCTCTGGCACGCTTGAGTCCATGGCTGCAGTCACTGTGTTAAACTACCTGCTGTGGATATTCCTCTTTTTCATCAACCCTCCACCTTTCCAAGCATGATTTCCCTCTCCAAGGAAAGCCCTCTATTAACAACACAAAGTATGTGAGGCAAAGCTTTGTCATCATTGTCTCCAAGGAGCACTCTGACTGCACTTTATCCAACTATCAAAACCTATTTGCAGCTGTTTCTTCTCATCTTGATTGACTTCCAGTCTGGGCTTTGCCTCTATTACCGTAACTATCCGTGCTCCTCTTTTGTTCACAGGATTTTCAGAGGCCTGTTATTTAATAAGTGTACATCCAATCCTGTTTCCTGGTCTGTCTTCATCTGAGAGCTCAGCTAAAACCCATCCATCATGGGTGACCCTTTTGGTATTTGACCTATCAGTGGCATACCTTCCAGTATCACGGCACTCACAAGTTACTTCAGTAAAGCAAAGTAACAGACAAGTGCTGCACTTATAAGAAGAATGATTTAAAAAGCAAGAATATAAATACGTAAGCTATAAAGTCATTAACGATGGAACTTATAGAAATAAACGTTTTAGTGACTTGAGTTTTTGGTTTCTTTTTCCTCCTCTCTCTGAAAGAAGAATCAATGTGTGACTGTAATACATGAAGGCTGCTATGAACGTGGTGTTTCAGAGACAATCAATTATCTAAAGGGCAGGCAAGAACACATGTCTCTCATTCATGAGACACTACACAAGACATACTTCCTAGACCATAGCTGACATCCAAGCAGATATATGCACTCCCATGTTTATTGCAGCTTTGTTCACAATAGCAAGGAGTTGGAAACAACCTAAGTGCCCATCAACAAACGAATGGCTAGAGAAGCTGTGGTATA